GTGCTCCGCAATGGTGCCCAGGTGGGCGTACAAGTGGTCACAGCGCTCAATGTACTGGCCCCATACCCACTCCCACCACTCCTCGTCGGCACGTATTTTGTTCACGAGTGAGTGCTCCATGCACTCGATGGCGCAGACGTGGCAGCGGAGAAAGTGGTGGCGGTCCTGGGTTTGCTGCGATGGGCCCTGGCTCCTCTCTGCCGGCAGGATGGGGCTGGAAGGTGCCTTGCTGGCAGGGGGTCCTGCTGCAGAGGAAGCAGATGAGAGCGAGATCGTCAGTGACCCCTGCTCTATGGCGTTCCGGGCACCCTGTGCCCTCCTCATGCCCCTGCACGTGTCCCCAGGCAAGACTGGCGTGGGGGGGATTCCCCTAGGAGCAGCAGGGGTGGCCTGAGGTGGGCTGGGCCACATGTGGTGGGGGGGGCCTGTTGTGCCTTCCCCTGGGGCAGCTACTGTGTCCCATAGGTGGCCATGGATGCATACTGTGTGCAGCAGCCTTGGGCTTCGTGGGGTCCAGCCTATGCCCTTGGAACTGGGCTGCTCCCGGACGGACCCCCCCACCCTGGGTTGGGTGTGCGTGACCCCTGGGGTCCCAGGTGTGTGCTGGGGCTGGCTGTTGTGTTCGTGTGTAGCTCAGTCTGGTTGCACAGGGTTGCACATGCTGCGTGCCACTGCACAGCATCCGGCCAGGCTCTGCCATGTGCTGTGCCCTCTCCCCCACCCCATGGCCCCCCTGACTCCTGCACACTTGTTGTGCTGCTGCACAGCATCCGGCCAGGCTGTGTCATGTGCTGCGCCCTCTCCCCCACCCCATGGCTCCCCTGCCCCCTGCACACTTGTGAGTGGCAGCTGTGACACTCACCAGATGATCCCTCGCCAATCTCCGAGGAGGCCTGTGGGGTGGCCAGGGCTGAGTCCACCATGGCCTCCAGGGTCTCGGCCCCCTTGTAGGCCAGGATACTGTGCAGGTGGTGGTAGTGGGAGCAAGCAAGTGGCTTTGCCGCCCCCACTCTCGCTGGCCTGCACGTAGCTGAGCCGCAGGTCTTTCACCTTGGCCTGGACCTGTTCCAGGGTCTGGGCTGGGTGTCCTTGTGCAGCTAACGCCTGGGCCATGCAGGCAAATATGTCTGTGTTTCTCCTCCTGGATTTGGGATTATGGAGGGCCTCCTCCTGGACCTCGGCGTTGCCCCAGCATGGAGCCCGCCGCTTGGTTCCCCTGTGGGCCTGCTGGGTGCTCTGGGGTGGCTCCTGGGTGGGGCCTGAGGGACCTGGCTGTTGTTCAGCAGCAGCCATCGCTCCCTTTGGCAGCTCCAAGGGCTGCACGTGGCACACGGCTCCGCTG